TCTCACCTCTGTGCGGCCCGGGGGAGGCCGGCCCTCTGCGTGAGCCTGTGGCTGCAGCAGTCCACCAGCGTCTTCAGGATGTTCAGGCACTCCCTGAAGGTGGAGAAGAACGGGTAGTGGCTGAGCACGCACAGGGAGGTCAGCGTGCTGTTACGGTTCCTGGCTCCGCCCCTTTTGTGCTGGGGGGGCGGGGCCTCTGGGGACCCTCCATCCCCCTCCTGGGCCTTTTCCTTCTCCCCCCCATGGGCCTTTTCCTGGGCCTTGTCCTGGGCCTTGTCCTGGGCCTTTTCCTTTTCCTTTTCCTTTTCCCCCCCCTGGGCCTTGCCCCGGTGGTGCCCCCCCCCCCCTTGGAAGGAGCGGTGGAAGTTGACCCCGATCCCGTAGCGCGTGGTGCCCGAGTCCTTGTCGGTGAGCGTGAACACGAAGGAGGAGTCGTCCCGCAGGCTGACGCGGCGCTGGCGCACGCTCAGGCAGCCCTCGGGCTGGCAGAAGAACACCACGTCGGGGGGCAGGGGGAAGTCCGGGTGGTCCTCCAGAGGGTAGCGCCGCAGCAGCTGCGGGGTCTGGGCCACGCTGTCGCTGCTCGGCTGCCTAAAGGGGGCGGAAACATGCAAGATCAGGGGTTATGACTAAGTCAGTGTTTTTCAACCTTTTTTGACCCAAGGTACATTTTTTCATAGAAAAAATCACGAGGAACACCACCAACCAAAAATGTCAAACAAATCTGTAGCTGCCTATAGTAACACTATAGTTATTCTTATTTTATTCTTATCTTATCTTAAGTGTCTTTAATAGGAATCAAATAAACACAAAAATTTATTTTTATCGTATTTTATATTTCTTCTTTCAAATTGCGCTTAACATGTCCACTTCAATATATAAAATTATATTCAAAATCTAGTCATAAGGAATTATTACATGATTACTCCACCAGTCACTAGAACAGCACAGACACTACAAAATGGAATATTATTTGCAGATAATTAATTACTTATCAAAAAATCTTTTTAGACCAATTAGGTGAAATAGGATGATTTTCTACGGCACACCTGACCATCACTAGTGTACCGAGGCACAGGGGTTGGAAAAACACTGGTCTAAGGAAACACCATACTTGTTCAATTCTATTTTATAGGGTTTCTGGCTAAGGAAACACCATATTTGTTCAATTCAATTCAATTTTATTTACAGTGGGGGAAATAAGTATTTGACCCCTTGCTGATTTTTCAGGTTTGCCCACTTACAAAGAATGCTTATTTTTACTCATCAGATGGTTATCAATTTTTATAAATTCATATGATGTGATTTTCTGGAATTTTCTTTGGGATTCTGTCTTTCACCGTTAGAATGCACATATGATTAAAGTTATAGATCGTAGCAAGGCCTCAAAATCTTCTTTACAATGTCAGGACTTAACGAGGAGTGTTTGAAATAAGGACAGAAGAAGGCAAATATTTAATCTAATTTCCCAAATGCCCAATCTTTAATTTTAGAGAGGATGATTTTTTCAGAGCTCAACTTTACAAGCCAAACCAGTGATTAAGCAGTCTTGAATAAAAATATGACAGTGACCAGATCAGCTTTAAGTGACTTACCTCGCTCCAACCACCACCAAGTAGTCCAGAAGGCGTGGGCATATTTTCTTTTTCTCCATCTTGGATTCTTAGTTAAGGCATCCAGGAAACACTGTGACTCTGGAATCAGTGAAGTCCTTCCATTCCTGAGAGGGCGAAGTCCAAACTCAGGTCTTTTACGCTCATGATGGTGGAAACAAAAGCCCGACCTGTAACACAAAAGCCGGATAAAAAACGATTTAATCCCGATGGGTTTGTGTTGGTCCCCACCTACAGACAGCAACCATTAACCCAGGGGTTTCAAACTCTGGGCCAAATGACTCCGAGAGCTGGTCCCCGGTATTATACTGCAGTGTTTTTCAACCTTTTTTGAGCCAAGGTACATTTTTTCATAGAAAAAAATCACGAGGCACACCACCAACCAAAAATGTCAAACAAATCTGTATCCGCCTATAGTAACACTATAGTTATTCTTATTTTATTCTTATCTTAACTTAAGTGTCTTGAATAAGAATCAAATAAACACAAACATTTATTTTTATCATATTTTATATTTCTTCTTTCAAATTGCACTTAACATGTCCACTTCAATATACAAAATTATATACAAAATCTAGTCATAAGGAATTATTACATGATTACTCCACCAGTCACTAGAACAGCACAGACACTCAGAAATGGAATATTATTTGCAGATAATTAATTCCTTATCAAAAAATCTTTTTAAACCAATTAGATGAAATAGGAGGATTTTCTACGGCCCACCTGACCATCACTCACAGCACACTAGTGTACCGAGGCACAGTGGTTGGAAAACACTGTTCTACTGTGCAGACCATTAACAGCTCGTACTACAACTCCCATAATGCCCTGCTGCTGTTCAGGACCCAGAAACTCCTCTGACAGTAGGAAACACTACAGCTGTCACTGAGCTAATGACCAAACATGACCCAAAGAAAGAAACAGGAGCTTTCTGGACAAGATCATTTAGTTTAGGAAGGAAGGAAGGAAGGAAGGAAGGAAGGAAGGAAGGAAGGAAGG